TCTCAACATAACTAATATCACTGTATATAACTAATCACAAAATAACATATCCCAACATAATTTGTCTTCAAACCAACCGACGTTTAAGTACAATGTTTTAAGGGTGTGTTATGTACGGAGGATAGTGTTTGGTAATTGATAAAAAAAATTTGAAAAACATATTTTGTAGGAAAATAAGTTCTTTATAAAATGTGGAAATGGACTTTCCTAGTATGATTGAAAAAATAAATTCTAAATTGTATTTCATATTGGTTTTGTACTCTTCGTCCTCCAACACATTGCATCTTCATCGTCACCCTCACCCCATAGCCGGTTCCTTTCCCATCATCCCACACTTCTATCCTCACACCACCTCTCATATTATTTGACAATTTTTTTTTAAAATAAAATAAAAATAAAATAAAGGCTAAATTATTAAATTCGATCAAATCTATACTTTAGCTTCGCCCCGATCCAAAAGTCCAAACAAACTAAATTAGTATAAAAATAATTGTCAAAACAACATTAAAATGAAACATTTGCATGTGTTCAACGACAATCAGTGTTTGTAAACGACCCTTCGGGGTGGCCCAGTGGTTTGGGCTTGGGACTTCCATGTTGGAGGTCTCAAGTTCGAAACCCCTTGCCAGCGAAAGTAAGGGGTTTGCCTTCTGGGTCGAGTTCGTTGCACCGGGCTTGCCTAGTGCGGGTTACCTCTCCTATGTGATTTGCGAGCTATTGCATAGGAGCGGAGGCGCATCCAAAGGGTAGCGACTGCGGGTTTCCCTTGTCATAAAAAAATAAAAAATCAGTGTTTGTAAAAGTGTCTTATCAACTCAACATGAGGAACAACTTCTCTTGGTCGTCCCTTATGTTTCATCAATCGAGGGCCAAAGTGGTGCATATCTCTCGGGGAAAGGATGTTATAATTTTTTTTTTAAGTATTTGATTGTTAAGAAGTATCTGGTCATATATATTTCGAGTTTATATTGTGAAAGAATGTTTCTTAATCACTTCGACTTTAAATAGAGATAATATTTGATGTCTTGATCTTTTTTTTTTCTTTCTAATATATATTATAATTAAAAATTTAATTATATACACTAACAACACCGATTAATAAGAAATTAAAAATATAATTTTAACCTCCCACCAATTCAATAATTAAACAGGACTAGTAGACAGTAGTTGTACAATCATATTACAATTATTGAAAAACTTTTTTAAAAAATACATAGTTATGACTAATTAACTACCCTCTTTTTAAGAAATGGATTATAAGGTACGTTAGACAATTAATTTCAAGAAATAATTAAGCAATAAAAAGGAATATTCATTAACAATTGTTCCTTTTATTGTTTATAACACTGTAAACGGCTCGAAAAATTCTATAAAGTCAGATTCAAGTAATCAAATTTCTCGATTTTGAGCAATGAAAACAAATTTGTAGGCTTCGGATTAAATCGAAAAAATATCAAATAATACATTAATTTAAAATATAAGATTCTTTAAGACCCTAAGTAAGAGTTAAAATTATATCAAATTTAAGTATATATAGTTCAAAAGTGTAATAAAATTATTATAGTATAAATAGTTAGTCATTTGCATCTAGGTTTGTGGGTAATTAACTAGTCATTATTTGAAATAATAATCAAAACTACATTATTATATTTTGACAACTAACTGACAATGAAGCAATAACTTAACAAGATATACATTAGGCACATGCATATATATATATATATATATTACTATAAGAATTAGATATCGGAGCCCGTACTATCACAAATCCAATATATATGTTATATTCTGCTAGAAACATGTATATTGATGGAAAACTGCCTGCTTCTGGTCGCTTATTAATAATATAATTTTTGATGGAAACTTTTGATCACTTAGTAATAATATGATTTTTAATAAAATAAAAAGGAAGAAAAGTTGTGATTTCATAAATAAACTAAAAAAATCACATCTTCACCAACTTACCTTTATTGAGATAAATAATAATACAATTTCCAGATTAGATTAGGGAGTTTACACTTTACAGATATTAAATTGTCTGGTAAGATGGCCCATTTTAATTTCTATTTTTTTATATTTTTGAGTCGTTGGCACTTATGTCTTAGGTGAATACAAACCAACATATATCAATGCAAGTAAATGTATACAAATTTAATTAAAAATAAGGAAGGAATAGAGGCAAATACGATGAACAGCTAAAAAAACAAATAGGGATAAGACACAAGTAACCCAATGATCGAAATCTCAAAGACACATCTTAACTAAACTAATATCTTACTACCCTGAACGGATTATTTTTTTAATTTTGTACACCTATTGGCTTATGTGGCACACTCCGTGACTCCACGTAGTTAATGCATGTGGGAGATGTTTGAATGCCACATAAGCTAGTGTACAAAATTGTGTCGAGGGCCATTTCAACATTTGGACGAATTGTACCAAATCGGACAACAAGTAATAGATCATCGTTTACCTCAACTAGATAGAACAGAGGTGAATGTTGTTGAAACAAGTTGTTATTATCGTTAAGATAAACTATCGGCGATGTCAAATTTAGTCCAATTGATATATCCAGATAGCCAAAAAGCCAAATGATTAACATTTGTGTTATATGTTAATATCTAAAAGTTATACTCAATTTTAATTTTTCAATAAAAGTTTTCTGATAACCACTAGAAAATTACTATGATGTGTGTTACAAAGTTACAAATACTATTTTTAAAAACTAATTGTTTCTTTATCTAGTCATGACATTAAGCCGACAATAAATTTACTTTTTCAAATTTACAAGTTTTTAGTTAAATATTGACAACAAAATTTGATATTTGAGAACTTTGAAATAAATTACTTTAAACTTATTATTTACCAATAAGATTTTTGAGAAGAAGAATCAAGGTATTGTATTACAACAAATGACTAACATTTTATTAACATGTATGAATCATTCTCAAAGTTATATAATTAAACTTTGATTCTTTTCATACTTGACCAATAATATCGGAGAAACAAACAAATTTAAATACCTTGTTCACCCCTTTTTATCTTGCCTAACTTTCAAATAAATAATTGAGGAACATTAATTAAATAGTCATCGCAACTTATAAACCTTCATCATTTACAAAAGTAAAATTATTTTGGAATTTGTATATGTTGTATTCTGTAAATTACTGATCAAACAATGACCATCCACAAGGTGTACTGTTTTTTTGAGATTTATTACTGAATATTCTTTCTCTTTCTATATAAGGTTCAGATAAAATAAAACTAGGATAGAATTGAATTTGCCAAATGTAAAGTTGAAACATTTGTTAATTTGGTGTGTTTGGTACTAATGAAATTTTTTCTTTATTAATCATCATATCTCATAACATACATGCTACCTCAAAATTATAACTCCAAAATTTTAAATGTTAAATTACTAATTTACCCTAGCGACAATTCGGTCTCCGGCAATAGCTGCAATGTTCACCATCTAGCTTTCCACTCTATATAACACTCAAACACATATGTATTTAATTAACAAAGGTTTTTGTAGCCCTACAACAAAACACTACTATCACCTCCAACCCTCATAGGTCGACACATTGACGACAACCTCAATCAAGAGACGTATGAAATTAGAAGTTGACGCTAATGCACAGTACCAACAAACATCCATCCACAACATAGAACAAACATGTATCCCATTATAATTTGCATTAAAAAAAACTATCAGTCTCTTGAAACAAATCAATAAGTTCACCATGCTTGTTGTTTAACCCTTTTACACAGAGTTGCTCACCTGACACAATTACATAAGGAAATATATTGCTTCTCGGTGAATTATTTGTAAGTCCCACTTTTGTTGTTGTAATTGATCAGTAATGTAGCTTATACACCACCAGTACATTCTTGAGTATTCTTCTATTTAAAATACGAATCGATTGATAATGAACTTTCAAAAGGGAGAAAGTTCTTCATAACGATTCTCAATTGTTAAAAATTTGGTACTACATGTTGTTTATGTTTATAAGATTTACTAGTCTCTGAGCACTTCTCAATTAATTGTTAAAAATTTGGTACCACTTCCTTAGGTTGTTTATGTTTATAAGATTTACTAGTCTCTGAGCACTTCTCAATTAATTGTTAAAAATTTGGTACCACTTCCTTAGGTTGTTTATGTTTATAAGATTTACTAGTCTCTGAGCACGTGCTTCGAACGTATATCTCATATTCATTGTCACAAAATATTATAAAAAGAAAATTATATTATACAATGAAATCATAGTGCACATATAGATATGCATTTATAATTTACTAAATGTTTAATGAAAATTAGATACTAGTACTCTTTTTTCATAAATATCACAATTATAGTGAAAAAAATATAACAATCTTATAACAGAAGAACAAGAAATAAAGCAATTAGATAAGGTACCATAAGCATCCCACACTTGACCAAAGATATATAAACACTTAAATAGTAGCAAATGACAGAAATGAGCTTTTTTTTTTTTTAATAAAGTGAGTACTCTCATCTATGACATGTACACAGAAGAATCAAGTTTGAGATTAAGTGATTTGGTATGGGAAGAAATACAAGATTTAGAAACATATTGGAAGTCTGGGAGAAATTCTTGGACAAGGTCAAATTAAAACAGGAGAACAAGATTGACGATTGTAGGCGTAACCTACTTGCTATTAAGGATTTGAAAGAAAAAAGAGCACCAAATTTATATTAGAAGTAATTCGCGAGATTATGTACTTCTCTTTCGTACTTATGACGGAAAAGGATACAACTGATTGGTCCAACCTAGACCGAGAGGCTCGATTAGAAAGCAATAGGTGGACAAATTTTGTGTTATATATGATAATTCTTTAATTGATAACATCCAACCACATACTTTTGTCCTAAAAATTCCTTCGAATTAATTGGTATACAAAAGTTTCAACAATAAAGCAAATAACATAAAGTAATTATCAAATAATAACTGAATGTATAGCACACCATTAGTATACTATCATAAGGATGGTATAACCCAAGTTGGCGGACAAATATGACTTAGTGACAATTCAGGATAAAAAGATTCAATATTTCCATTTTGAAGATTGTAACATCCCATGTCTTTTCCACCACCACATTCCAAATGATAGTTTTGATCAAACCAATCATCAGTAAAATATATATGATTAGGCTTGATCACCCCTGTAAATTTAGTGGAGTCGATAGAAGTTGCTCCATTACAGCCCACAAAAATTGTTGAATCTCCCAAGTTGTTAATCTCTTTCATATTACCTTTCACTACATCTAATTCATATATTTCAAATTTAACAGTTTCGAGAGCCCTGCTAGCATTTGAACGCCTTCTACCAAATCGGGCAACAAGTAAGAGTGCATCGTTTACGTCAACTAGATAGAACTGAGTTGAATGTTGTCGAAACAACTTCTTATCATCGTTAAGATAAACTATGTTCGATTCAGGAACACTATTAGGTCCTTGAAAATCAATAATACCTAATGCACCGCTCCAAGTAACAAGATAAAATTGGCCCTTGAAGTAAATCATATCGGACACTCCACCTACTCTTTCACCGATGCGGAATTTATTCCAATTGATATCTCCAGGTCGCCAAAAAGGCTAAAATGATTAACATCTGTATTATATGCAATGACGAGTACATAATCTGAAGTAAAAGAAGGATTAGCAGATAAAATAGCATTTCTGATGTAGTTATACTCTTCTTGTTCGATAAATTCCTCATCTTCGTCAATTAGGGCAAATTGATTAGGAAGTTGAATTTGGGTACGGGAGAAAGGATTGAGCAAATTAACGTTTTCTCCGTCGAATGATTGGGTGAGAACCCATCCCACCTGATGAGATGGGAAGCACTCTCGCCCTTTAGCCTCGGGGAGGTACAATTTGCGGGAAACTTTACCTTTGGAAACAGAGTAAAATTCTCGATAATAATTATTTTCATGATCATCAGGGAGCATTAGCAAAGGGAGTTGAGGAGAGAAAATATCGAAATTGTCCTTGGGAGAAGCCGTTCGCCATGAGGTACAAACACAATTGAAAGCAATGAAATCTTCAATCACTTTAACACGATTTGCAATCAGAACAAGGAGGTCATGGGGCATTCCTGCCCAGTCAGCCATAGCTAAATAAGGGATTGTAAGAATTGCAACAATTTGAGGGAGTTTTATATTTAAGGGACAAAGCAGGACTAGCCTATATTCACAAGGATTTCGAATAGAAAAAGGAATACGAGTGGCAGGCCCAATATGTTTTGGACTTCAATTGAGGAATTTCGCGCATTAGTAGTTAAAAACATATATACATTTCATAGTGTTAAAAGTTAATTACATTTTGTTTCTATTCTTTTTTAAATTAGGGAAAAAGGACAAATATATCCCGGACTATCGTAAATGGTATGTAGATACCGTCCGTCTAAAAGTTAGAGTGCATATATACCATTTATACTAACGAAAGACTAAATAGGAACACGTGTCATAATCTTATCCACAGACTCGACATTTATTAAATATCGGATCGACGGATAAGAATGTGCCAAATGTACCAAACCAACCCAAGTATAGTAATATTTTTAAAACTTTCCATTCTTGAACTGAGTAATTTATATGTATAGGATTAGATAGATGTGTTAATCTTTTTGTATCGGGATAAGGCACAAGTATCCCCTATATTATGATCGAAATTTCAAATACACACCTTAACTAAACTAAGGTCATATTATCCGAACTCATTTGTTTTATAATTTTATACACCTTTTTGACTGTTATAAGAAAATGTGGGAGGAGAACGATTAGGAGAGAGAGAGCGGGTTGAATTGTAGCGGAGGAGTAAATTAGGGTGATAATTGAGTTAGTGTCTATTTAGGCTATATTTAAGTAATGATATATCTCAAAATGTATGTGATTTCAAATCTGATAATAGTGGGATAATAAGTAACTATTTGAAAGTTTAAATTGAATTAGTAGATATGGTATAAAAGTATGTCTAATTAGGTAGCTTTTCCATAAAATAACTCAATGTACCAATAAACTATGAACATGTCGACTTAGAAGCAATATGGAAATAATTTAATTTGTGTAACGATTTTTAAATTTATTTTGCTTGATAAAGTAAAATTGTTCAATTGGTCAAATGTCAGGCTATATAGAAGAGTTTGTAATATGGTAACATGAATAGTGAATTTATACATAAAATATCAAAGTAAAAGTTAGGTTGGACTAGTCAAATTGTTACCTTGAACAACTACTAACTCATGTTTCTTAGATTTTTCCTTTGAAAAGAACTATTAAAAGACAGAAGCAAGCTGCTATTATAACAGCAAATAGGGCAAGAATGACCATTCTCTATCTTCAAGTATTGGAGACTCTTGTTAGATTCATCATCAATAATTTCACCAACTTGGTGGATCATATCATGGAGAGGTACAATATCCGCCAGAGTTCACCCTTGAAAAGAGAGAAATTCTTGATACACGTCATCATCTTTTTTTATCAAGGAGCATTAGAGAAAAGATCGAAATTGTCCTTGGTAGAAGCAGTACGACATGAGGCACAAACACCATGACAAGCAATGAAATCTTCCATCACTTTAACACGCTTCACAATCAGAACAAGGAGGTCATGGGGGCTGGGGCAGCCCTTCCCAATGAAATTCAATCATGCTACAAAAAGTTCAACTCAATAAAACAAATAACATAAAGTTCTTATTGATTGAAATCACGAAAGAAAACAAATACTAGAACCTAACTTTATGATAAACTGCAAAAACAACAAAAATAAATAAATTACTGAACATATAGCACAATAGCTCCTCATACAAGTTGGCATCACAATGATGGTATTACCCAAGTTGGCGGGCAAATACAACTTAGTGGTAATTCAGGATAAAAATATTCAATATTTCCATCTTCAAGATTGTAAACTCCTGTGTCTTTTCCACCACCACATTCCAACGATAAGTTTTGCTCATCCCAATCATCGGTAAAATATATGTGATTAGGCTTTATCGCTCTTGTAAATTTAGTGGAGTCGATGGAAGTTGCTCCATTAAGACCCAAAAATATTGTTGAATCTCCCAAGTTGTGAATCCGTTTCAATTTACACTTCATTTCATCTACTTCATATACTTCACATTTAAAAGTGTCCACGGCACTATTATAATTTGAACGATTTCTACCAAATCGGGCAACAAATAAGAGTGCATCGTTTACCCCAACTAGATAGTACTGAATTGAATGTCGAAACAAGTCCTTGTTATTGTTAAGATAAATCAAGTGCAACTCTACGCGTCGATCACGACTTTGGACATCAACAACCCAGATTTCAGCTCCCCAAGTAAGAAGATAAAATTGGCCCTTGTAGTAAGTCATATTGCAGACTCCACCATGTCTTTCATCCATGTCAAATAGAGTCCAATTGATATCTCCAGGTAGCCAATAAGCTAAATAATTAACATCTGTGTCATATGATATTACGAGTACATAATCAGATGTAAAAGATGGATTTGCAGATAGCGTAGCCAGTTTGATGTGGCGATAGAACTCAGGTTCTTCAATTAAGTCGTCAGGACTCTGTAAAGCTCTTAACGCGAATTGGTTAGGAAGATGAATTTTGGTAGCGGAGAAAGGATTGAACAAATTGACCTCTTCTCCGTTTAATGATTGGGTGAGAAGCCATCCCATGTGATGAGTTGGGAAACAATCTCGCCCTTTAGCGTCAGGGAGGTATAATTTGCGTGAGACTTTACCTTTGGAAAGAGAGTAAAATTGTCGATAATAATTATTTTCATGATCATCAGGGAGCATTAGTAAAGGGAGTTGAGGAGAGAGAATATCAAAATTGTCCTTGGGAGAAGCCGTTCGCCATGAGGTACAAACACTACGAAAAGCAATGAAATCTTCCATCACTTTAACACGCTTTGCAATCAGAAGAAGGAGGTCATGGGTTAGCCCTGCCCAGTCCGCCATAGCTCTTACTAAGAAGAAGGATGGAAAAACTTACAAAACAATTGGAGGGATTTATTCATATTTATTAATAAACCAAATCCTAAATGAACAAGGATTTAGAATAGTCAAATTAATTACGGTAATAAAAAATTCTCATATAAGGAGTAATATGAATCTGTATTATTGCTTAGTATTCGACTCATATCCTTCATTCTTTCACCTCAAGTTGAACGAATGAATTAAGAGGTCAACTTTTCGAGTCATGTGTTATATTGGCTAGTTGTTACTGCTCGTTCTGATTCTCTACTTGTTTGTTTTGTTGAGTCTATTTCAAAGCGTAAGCTTTGTTTTCTTTTTCCAGATCGTATATGCTCTGTTTTTTCTCTTCAGGTTTGCTGTCTATTGTTCATCCCCTAAAGTGTTGTATTTGGCAAGTTCGTGTGCCCAATAATTCCAATCATATCATGGAGGACAATGTGTGTCCAATAATTCCAATCAAACTCCCAGTTGTCGAGATTTGATAGTAGAACGCAACATATGACATGTATACGGAAGAATAAAATTTGAAGATCAAGTGATTTGGTATGGGAGAAATACAAAGTTTAGAAACTATTACCAACCTGCTATTAAGGATATGGAAGAATAAAGAAATACAGTAATAGAAAAGGACCGACAAACTTATACCACAAGTGATTCACAAGATCATGCACTTCTCTTTCATACTTGTAATCAAAGCAACCAAGTCAATCAAAATAAATTCGATCAAGCGACAAAAAGTTCAACTCAATAAAACAAATAACATAAAGTTCTTATTCATTGAAATAACAAAAGAAAACAAATACTAGATTATAATAAATTGCAAAAACAACAAAAATAAATTATTGAACATATAGCACACTATAACTCCTCCCAAGTTGGCATCATAATGATGGTATTACCCAAGTTGGCGGGAAAATATAACTTAGTGATAATTTAGGATAAAAATATTCAATATTTCCATTTTCAAGATTGTAACATCCTGTGTCTTTTCCACCGCCACATTCCAAATCATAGTAATGGTCATGACAATTATCAGTAAAATATATATGATTGGGTTTGACCCCTGTAAATATAGTGGAGTCGATACAAGTTGCTGCATTAAAACCCAAAAAAATTGTTGAATCTCCCAAGTTGTTAATCTCTTTCAAATTACCTTTCACTACATCTATTACATATACTTCATATTTAAAAGTTTCGCGAGCCCCGTAAGCATTTGAACGACTTCTACCAAATCGGACAACAAGTAAGAGTGCATCGTTTACCTCAACGAGATAAAACTGAGTTGAATTTTGGCAAAACAACTTCTTATCATATTAAGTAATCAAGAAACAAGTGATTTTATTTTTAATTTCTTTACAAGTTATATAATAAAACATTGGATTTTCGCATATTTGACTAATGCTAACATACAAATTCAAATCCTTGTTCACACCTCTTTCATCTTACCTAAGATGAACAGTTGTAGGTGTAACCAACTTGTTATTAAGGATACGTAAGAAGAAAGAAATAATAGAAAAAGAGTGCCCAATTTACATCAGAAAATTCACGAGATTATGTACTTCTCTTTTGATCCAGCCTAAACCAAGAGGCTCGACTAGAAAGGAATAGGCGGAGAAATTTTGTGACATATATAATTCCTTCTGATTAATTGGAGTTGTTAATATGAGTAATTATCAAAAAGTTTCAGTTTTTTTCCGAATAATCAAAGCAACCAAGTCAATCAAAATAAAATTGATCATACAAGAAAGCAAATAACATAAAGTTGTTATTTGAGTGAAATTATGAAATAAAACAAATACTACAACTTAACTTTTAAATAAGTTACAAAACAAATAAAATTGAATAACCTAACTGAATATATAGCACACACAATAACTCATCCTCATAAGGATGGTATAACCCAAGTTGGCGGACAGATATGACTTAGTGATAATTCAGGATAAAAAGATTCAATATTTCCATCTTGAATATTGTAACATCCCATGTCTTTTCCACCGCCACATTCCAAATGATAGTTTTGATCAAACCAATCATCAGTAAAATATATCTGATTAGGCTTAATCACCCCTGTAAATTTAGTGGAGTCGATAGAAGTTGCTCCATTACAGCCCACAAAAATTGTTGAATCTCCCAAGTTGTTAATCTCTTTCATATTACCTTTCACTACATCTAATTCATATAGTTCAAATTTAACAGTTTTGAGAGCCCTGCTAGCATTTGACCGCCTTCTACCAAATCGGGCAACAAGTAAGAGTGCATCGTTTACGTCAACTAGATAGAACTGAGTTGAATGTTGTCGAAACAACTTGTTATCATCGTTAAGGTAAATTACGTTAGACTGAGGAACACTATTAGGTCCTTGAATATCAATAATACCTAATGCACCGCTCCAAGTAACAAGATAAAATTGGCCCTTGAAGTAAATCATATCGGACACTCCACCTACTCTGTCACCGATGCGGAATTTATTCCAATTGATATCTCCAGGTCGCCAAAAGGCTAAATGATTAACATCTGCGTTATATGCAATGACGAGTACATAATTTGATGTAAAAGAAGGATTAGCAGATAAAATAGCAGTTCTGATGGATTGAACAAATTAACCTTTCGATAATAATTATTTTCATGATCATCAGGGAGCATTAGTAAAGGAAGTTGGGGAGAAAGCACATTGAAATTGTCCTTGGTAGAAACTGTTCGCCATGAATTACAAACACAACTGAAAGCAATGAAATCTTCAATCACTTTAATACGATTTGCAATCAGAATAAGTTGGCATCACAATGATGGTATTACCCAAGTTGGCGGGCAAATACAACTTAGTGGTAATTCAGGATAAAAATATTCAATATTTCCATCTTCAAGATTGTAAACTCCTGTGTCTTTTCCACCACCACATTCCAACGATAAGTTCTGCTCATCCCAATCATCGGTAAAATATATGTGATTAGGCTTAATCGCTCCTGTAAATTTAGTGGAGTCGATGGAAATTGCTCCATTAAGACCCAAAAAAATTGTTGAATCTCCCAAGTTGTCAATCCGTTTCAATTTACATTTCATTTCATCTACTTCATATACTTCACATTTAAAAGTCTCCACGGCACTGTTATCATTAGAGCGATTTCTACCAAACCTGGCAACAAATAAGAGTGCATTGTTTACGACAACTAGATAGTACTGAGTTGAATGTCGAAACAAGTCCTTGTTATCGTTAAGATAAATCAAGTGCGACTCTACGCGTCGATCACGACTTTGGACATCAACAACCCAGATTTCAGCTCCCCAAGTAAGAAGATAAAATTTGCTCTTGTAGTAAGTCATATTGCAGACTCCACCATGTCTTTCATCCATGTCAAATAGAGTCCAATTGATATCTCCAGGTAGCCAAAAAGCCAAATAATTAACATCTGTGTCATATGAAATTACGAGTACATAATCAGATGTAAAAGATGGATTTGCAGATAGCGTAGCCAGTTTGATGTGGCGATAGAACTCAGGTTCTTCAATTAAGTCGTCAGGACTCTGTAAAGCTCTTAACGCGAATTGGTTTGGAAGATGAATTTTGGTAGCGGAGAAAGGATTGAACAAATTGACCTCTTTTCCGTCTAATGATTGGGTGAGAAGCCATCCCATGTGATGAGTTGGGAAACAATCTCGCCCTTTAGCGTCAGGGAGGTATAATTTGCGTGAGACTTTACCTTTGGAAAGAGAGTAAAATTCTCGATAATAATTATTTTCATCATCATCAGGGAGCATTAGTAAAGGGAGTTGAGGAGAGAGAAGATCGAAACAGTCCTTAGAAGAGGCGGTTCTCCATGAATTACAAACACAACCGAAAGCAATGTAATCTTCAATCACTTTAACACGCTTAGCAATCAAAAGAAGGAGGTCATGGGGCAATCCTGCCCAGTCCGTCATAGCTTAATAGATAGGAAGAAGATGAAGAGAATTCTAGGGCAAATACAAAGATGGTAGGAATTTGAGGGCATTTTATAATAGGGAGGGAGACAAAGCAGGACTTTCCTATATTCACAAGGATTTGGAATAGGTACGGCCCAGGCCCAATATCTTGGACAAGAATATCGCGAAATCTCTGCAGCAATTCGAGCACGTGATACGCCAATTTCATATGCTGAACTGTTTGAAAAGCTTACCAATCACAAGTTTTTTCTCAAACACAATGCTCCACGTCAATCCACTATAATTACTGTTGTTGGTTCTCAAAAGTCCAGCTCTCAAACGTGGACCAGCGCCACCAACACTAATAGGCGTTCAAATTTATAGCACAAGTGATTCACGAGATCATGCACTTCTCTTTCATACTTATAATCAAAGCAACCAAGTCAATGTTCAACACAATAAAGCAAATAACATAAAGTTCTTATTGATTGAAATCACAAAAGAAAAGAAAATACTAGATTATAATAAATTGCAAAAAAATTTACTGAACATATAGCACACTATAACTCCTCCCAAGTTGGCATCATAATGATGGTATTACCCAAGTTGGCGAGAAAATATAATTTAGTGATAATCCAGGATAAAAAGATTCAATATTTCCATTTTCAAGATTGTAACATCCTATGTCTTCTCCATCGTCACACCAGTCATCAGTAAAATATATATGATTAGGCTTGACCCCTGTAAATATAGTGGAGTTGATACAAGTTGATGCATTAAAGCCCAAGAAAATTGTTGAATCTCCCAAGTTGTTAATCTCTTTCAAATTACCTTTCACTACATCTATTTCATATACTTCATATTTAAAAGTGTGGCGAGCCCCGTAAGCATTTGAACGACTTCTACCAAATCGGACAACAAGTAAGAGTGCATCGTTTACCTCAACGAGATAAAAGTGAGTTGAATTTTGGCAAAAGAACTTCTTATCATCGTTAAGGTTAATTTTGAGAGAGTCTACGCGTGGCTCAGGTCCTTGAACATCAATAATACCTAATTCAGCGGTCCAAGTAACAAAATAAAATTGGCCCTTGTAGTAAATCATATTGTACACTCCACCATATGTTCTTGTGAGGTTAATTTGAGTCCAATTGATATCTCCAGGTCGCCAAAAAGCAAATTGTTCAACATATGTGTGATATGAAATGACGAGTACATAATCTGAGATAAAAGAAGGATTGGCAGATAAAATAGCATTTATGATGTAGGGATACTCCAAATCTTCAATTAAGGTAGGAAGTTGAATTTTGGTAGCAGAGAAAGGATTCAACAAACGGACCTCTTCTCCAACGTCTAATGATTGGGTGAAAAACCATCCCATTTGATGAGATGGGAAACATTCTCGCCCTTTAGCCTCAGGGAGGTACAATCTCCGTGAAATTTTACCCTTGGAAATAGAGTAAAATTCTCGATAATCATCTTTCTGAGGGAGCATTAGTAAAGGAAGTTGAGGAGAAAGCACATCAAAATTGTCCTTAGTAGAAGCTTTTCGCCATGAATTACAAACACAACCAAAAACAATGAAATCTTCAATCACTTTAACACGCTTTGCAATCTCAACAAGGAGGTCGTTGTTCAATCCTGCCCAGTCCGCCATAGGTTACTATTGGAGCTCATTCTTTTTATATTTATAAACATAAATTTATAAACCAAATCTTATGTGAACAAGGATTTGGAATACGTAATCAAATTTTCTGGTCATATTAGGTAATCAAGAAACAAGTGATTTTATTTTTAATTTCTTTACAAGTTATATAATAAAACATTGGATTTTCGCATATTTGACTAATGCTAACATACAAATTCAAATCCTTGTTCACACCTCTTTCATCTTACCTAAGATGAACAGTTGTAGGTGTAACCAACTTGTTATTAAGGATACGTAAGAAGAAAGAAATAATAGAAAAAGAGTGTCCAATTTACATCAGAAAATTCACGAGATTATGCACTTCTCTCTTGATCCAGCCTAGACCAAGAGGCTCGACTAGAAAGGAATAGGCGGAGAAATTTTGTGACATATATAATTCCTTCTGATTAATTGGAGTTGTTAATAAGACTAATTATCAAAAAGTTTCAGTTTTTTTTTTCCGAATAATCAAAGCAACCAAGTCAATCAAAATAAAATCGATCATGCTACAAAAAAATCAACACAATAAAGCAAATAACATAAAGTTCTTATTGAGTGAAATTATGAAATAAAACAAATACTACAACTTAACTTTTAAATAAGTTAGAAAACTAATAAAATTGAATAACCTAACTGAATATATAGCACACACAATAACTCATCCTCATAAGGATGGTATAACCCAAGTTGGTGGACATATATGACTTAGTGATATTTCAGGATAAAAAGATTCAATATTTCCATCTTGAATATTATAACATCCCATGTCTTTTCCACCGCCACATTCCAAATGATAGTTTTGATCAAACCAATCATCAGTAAAATATATCTGATTAGGCTTAATCACCCCTGTAAATTTAGTGGAGTCGATAGAAGTTGCTCCATTACAGCCCACAAAAATTGTTGAGTCTCCCAAGTTGTTAATCTCTTTCATATTACCTTTCACTACATCTAATTCATATAGTTCAAATTTAATAGTTTCGAGAGCCCTGCTAGTATTTGAACGCCTTCTACCAAATCGGGCAACAAGTAAGAGTGCATCGTTTACGTCAACTAGATAGAACTGAGTTGAATGTTGTCGAAACAACTTGTTATCATCGTTAAGGTAAATTACGTTAGACTGAGGAACACTATTAGGTCCTTGAATATCAATAATACCTAATGCACCGCTCCAAGTAACAAGATAAAATTGGCCCTTGAAGTAAATCATATCGGACACTCCACCTACTCTGTCACCGATGCGGAATTTATTCCAATTGATATCTCCAGGTCGCCAAAAGGCTAAATGATTAACATCTGTATTATATGCAATGACGAGTACATAATCTGAAGTAAAAGAAGGATTAGCAGATAAAATAGCATTTCTGATGTAGTTATACTCTTCTTGTTCGATAAATTCCTCATCTTCATCAATTAGGGCAAACTGATTAGGAAGTCGAATTTGGGTACGGGAGAAAGGATTCAACAAATTAACGTTTTCTCCATCGAATGATTGGGTGAGAAGCCATCCTACCTGATGAGATGGGAAACACTCTCGGCCTTTAGCCTCGGGGAGGTACAATTTGCGCGAGACTTTACCCTTGGAAAGAGAATAGAATTCTCGATAATCGTCATCTTTCTGGGGAAGCATTAACAAAGGAAATTGAGGAGAAATCACATTGAAATTGTCCTTGGGAGAAGCCATTCGCCATGAGGTACAAACACCACGGAAAGCAATGTAATCTTCCATCACTTTAACACGCTTTGCAATAAGAACAAGGAGGTCGTTTGGCAGTCCTGCCCAACCCGCCGCCATAGCAGAGAAGAGAGATCTGGTATGTATGGGATTCTAGTCTAGGGCAAACACAAGGATTGTAAGAATTGAACAATTTGAGGGCGTTTTTATAATAAGGAGGGAGACAAAAGCAGGACTTCCTATATTCATAAGGATTTGGAATAGGTACGACTGTCAGGCCCATTATGTTTCGGACTTCCTTCACATTCTTATTTTGAAAAGAAAAAAATTACTATCTCCTACAATATTTGGGAAAACTAAACTTCATGCTCCATATAAGCAAATTAATTTGGGAAAACTTTTCACATATAGCCACTCAAAAATAACTTAATTACGTTTTATAGTTATAATTTGCTAATTATGATTCGTAGCTACATGTTATAAGGAGGAGAGTGGCGAGCGAGAAAGTGCAGAGAGTGGGAGAAAGGTGAATTGTATATATATGTGTTGGTTAGATAATTGTATATATGTAACTGGCCGCATATGTATATGAATATCTGGCGAGCAAGATTGGGAGATGGAGGAGAGAGGGCAATAGTGTTAAGAGTTAATTACATCATATCCTTAATCTTTTCTAAATTACAAAACTTCCTTAAATTTTGTGGAATTCGGATACATCCCAAAATGTTTCAATACATCACGTCCTAATTTCAGATACACCATTCAACATCACAATACATCGCATCTCGATTTCGAATACATCACATACGTCCCGATACATCACGTAAAGTGATGTATCCGAGAATTGGAGAGAGTAGAAATTTTTGTAATTTTTTTAAATAGTAGAAATTTTTTAAGAATATGATCAAATATGTTGTGAATTTAGGTAATTTTTTCTTTAAAATATGGGATGGTAAAAACAAAAATAGCAAGAACTAAAGGCAAACAATACAATGCTTTCAAAATAATTGGCATGCGTCTTTTTTCCATAATCAAAAGAGGATCTTAATGACTTTTCTCAAGCTTCCTCCGAAAACATTAGAGAAGAGGGCCGATAGGAAATTAAATGCAATGCTTCTTTCTTTTTTTCTCGAAAACCTGATGCGGCTGAAATGAAAAAAAAATCAAACCAAGGTTGAATTTTAGGGAAATTATTGTCATTGATATGATAATAGCATTCATCTTTATTCTCTTGAATCATTTTGTTGACAATTGTGATTTGAGAAGCAAACAATAAAACCTGTAATGATAGTACCTGCAATCTTAGTTTACTTTGAAGGTTAAAAAATATTGAAATAAGCTGTTTTAGACTCTGATGTATATACTGCGGTGCTGTTGTATATCAGCCCGTATATCATCCATTTTTGACCTCTAAGACCTGTAATTCAGACATCGCTGGGGGCTGACTCGAAGGACTTCAACTCAAAGATATGCAAGGGGAGTTCAAAAGAGACTCGGGTTGAGTTGAATTCCGATAAAATCACATAAGAATCTTATTTATCTAAAACTAATTAAGGAAACACATAATGGTATTTTTAAATCCCTAAATTAAGGAGTATCCAAATAAGGAGGACTCGTATACGGATAAAGCATGTTTAATTCTAAGGTTAGAGAGCACATACAGTAAAATTACCCAAATGAGTGAACAAGATCTATGTGGCAGCAACTACATTATGCAAACATATTATTAACAACTAAAGGCTTTTTTTTTTAAAAAAAAAGTGAATTGGAACACCAAACAATAATTTAAGTCGAAGCTAAGAGGTAACTTCATAATAGTTAAAGATGACTGAATCGGGACACCATAATAGCTCTCACAGGTGAGACAATGAAAAATAAGACGACACCAATAGATATGAATAATAAATTTACATTTACATAAGTCCTTTCAACAAACGTCATTGACAAATAAAACTTATCACACACCACATGGACCAACAAACAGCTTTGATAGAGACACAAACATACTCAAATAGTCATGGAAACTGAGCAAATGAATTTCTTTTGAACCTCATGCAAATCTTCCTTCTCAACCAATCCATCTTGGTAACTAATCACACCTGAATGTTTTCAGCGTTAATCACTAATAAGCTCCAACAAAAAGTTTTTAGGCAAAAATATATATATATATATATAAAAAATTCTTTCAATTTATATTGTTAAATATGTTAGCTGCATCAAAGTTCTTCCCTTTTTTCTTCCAGATGTCAACTCAATGTGATCAGTGGTCACACTCAAAGTCCACAGATGCCGCATAGTTACATGTCTAAAAAAAGAGCAAAAGAAAGGTAAGAAACTTAAAACAAATATGATACTTGAAAGAGTCAAGAACAAAGAAACACAAAAAACGGCTAGCTCTGAAACTGAGGAGTAGAACTTAATATCAGAAGAAAGGGATTATGATAGCTTTGTCTCTAGAGGTAAAATATATGTGGTTCACTAATATCAAGTGCAATATACATGTGTCCTTCAATAAAGACATGAGGACACAAAGAGAACTCTATAAGAGAGCAAAGGCCTAAAAATGATGCAAAATTGAAAAATATTATCTATAAAGCATGTAGTACAATTCGTGGAGCATGTGTTCGTCCTTCAAAAGTCTCACTTCTAATATAGAGTATATAAACCAAAAGTTAAATGCTTTGGTAAATCACAGGAAAACTGAAATAATTTCTGACAAAAATGAAGAGATCAGTTTATGAAATTTACTGTCTCTACAGGTCAAACTTATCAAACCAAAATTGAACTAAAATTTATCAAATTTCTATACTAAGAAAGAAACACTAAGAAGAACAATTGCCTCGATTATCATTTGAAACCATGAATAACCAACATCATTCTCAACATAGCCGCAAAAGTTATGACAATACTAATATAAACCTTAGCTACAAACTTATAACTTCTAATTCAATGCTTTGACAAAACCACAATAGAACTGATAATTTTAGAATATATAGAAAGCAAGGGAATCAACTTATAAAGTTCAACTAAATCCTTATAGAGATAAATCGTAGGAGTAATGACTAATTTTGTTGAAGCAAATTCAATTAACGGCTTTTCCCTTAGGATTAGTTCCATGAGGCAAGTTATAATAACTTTTCAATATTACTAATTCTTATCACTTCACTTGTTTGCTCAACTACCCTTATGTCCCTGAAATCTACAGAATCACTTTGTCATCTAAAGATTGATAAAAAAAATAGTGAGATGAATAGAAGTACTTTTAAATAGGAAGAGAGAATGTTTTTACAATGAATTTAGGCACTTGAACTTTTGGGGGAAAAGTTGCACGTGTTCTGGTTGGGATTTCTTCCAATTCTGTGCAACCTTCATCAACTTCGTTATCATTTTGATGACCTAGCTTATCACTGCCTTCCACTAAAACAATAAAAAAAACGTCTATCAGGAAACAATTTTGAAGAATTAAGGAAACTATTGGAGGATATAGAAAGACATTATGTTACAACGATAAAGAATTGAATACCTGAGAAGCCAAGAAATCAGAACTTCAATCCAGCAGCTTTCATTACCATGATGGGGAGAAACCGAGAAAGAATTAACAAAATGAAAATTGAAAAGGTGAGCAGAGATGGAGAGTTCAATGTTTGTCCAGATGAAAACACAGTCAAATAAACTTTCAATATCACGGAATTACAAATTTTAACAAACACACATGGGAATTCAAAGAAATTAGACGCCAGGTTACAATTAATGTGAATTATCAAAGCTAGTACAGTACTTGTTTAATAAAGTGGGCCCTAACATAGTACAAGTAATCTTTAGTTTATAAAAATAACAATAATAGTGACAGACTGACAGTAACAAAAATTGGTAAAAGTTTACATGTCTCAATGAATTATATAATGTAGCAAAGGAGGCATTATTAGGAGCTGTTTCTTGTAATGACAATTCTGGCTTGGATAAAACAGAGAACAACTTTCCGTAAAAAGAGTGTAAAAGACTTAGAGAGCTAAGTTAAAAAATATCACAGCCTATTGCAAGAAAACTTAATGTTGCAACATTTATATCAACCATTCAAATTCATATGCTATTGCCACACTTCATCTGGCTTCAAGCCATGAGCATAACCCAAGTATTTCTTGTGCACAGACTGATTCAAATGAGATCTACCAAAAAAGGAGGTAAAGTCAAAATGCACAAGTGAAAAACACAATTTTTCAGAATTCTTCTTTGTACTCTTATTTACGTAAATCTTCTCATTAGAATTATCACCAATTGTCATGCAAATGACGGGCAACCATTACAATTTTTCATGTTCAAAGTCAAAATTCAGTTTCCCTGTTTTCTTCCAACACATAACGCCAAAGAAAAATAAGTTGCATAGCATGTGGATCTAGTAATAATTGTTATGTTGTTATTTTACCAGGGTTCTACTTTGAACAATATTATTAGAATACCCACATCGCTTAGGGCTAGCAAATTTGTATCCCTTACCTCCCTACAAGCTCATATGCATTGATAATAAAAGATTAGATGTAACCAGATATCAGTGTTTACACTTGATATTGAATCTCATTGAATCTACTTACAGAAAGAAGTAGAGTTTCCAAGAAATGCACAACAAGCCATAGGAAGAGAAGCATTCGCAAGTTGGACTCAAACTGAAGTAAACGGACTTTAAAAAGGCTAAAAACCACAAGTTTTCCTTATTTCTGTCGGAAACACTTACTTTGAGAAAGTGCATGAGAGAGTTTCCAAAATCAACAAAAAGCCTCCATAATGACCACGCCGTGCTCCTAGCTTCGATAAAAGAAAGCATGTTAGCTAGAACACACCACGGCTACTTTCGTTGTACATTTGAAATTCGAACAATTAGATGCCAAAATCTAGAAAAGTAGTGGCAACAATGGATAGAGTAACCTTGAACCATATTCATGAGGACAGTGCAGTGGTTCAAGGTTCAAAAGAGTAGAACCACCTCTTTGTGACCAGAAAACAGTATGTGACATACCTCCGTTTTTTAACTTTTGCAATAAGTTTTCCGCTATCAATGTAACAGATTAAGTTTACAGCATACTGCCACTCAACAGTAGGCCTATTCGTTCTCTTGACTAATGAAAGAATTCATCATCTGCCTTAGTAATCTCAAATATGTCATCCATAGAATTCACATTCTTCATAAAGGCCACCAGAAAGATAAAATAACAAGCACATATTGACATGTGAAACATGACTAGAGTAAGTTAAGAATGGTATTGTTTTGGAAAACTTCACAACCCACCCATGTGTAGCGCAAGTACCAAGATTTTGTACAAAGAATGCGTAATAAGCAATAATAAAAAACATAAGCTAAGATTGTTCTTTTGATAAATGTAAAACTAAGTTCAAGATTTTACATCTGAAAAATCCAAAATGAGTTTCGGAAGAACTATTTTCCTTTGGAAAGTCCAAAAGAGAGTCAAATAAAATTGCAATCTTTAGAACTTGCTAATTTTTATGCTAAAAAAACAATTGTATCTCTAAGAAATTAGGTCACATTGAGTACTCAATAATTCAATGTGATATTTGTAGGAATGGTTCTGTTTTATTTAAGATCAATTTTTTTTGAAAATTCCAATCCAATGTTTCTTTTGACATTCAAGTGAGGCCTTGCACAGATGGATGACTTGTTGAGGGAAATTTTTAATGTCACAAGTATAAACAAAAAGAAGAAGAAAATATCAACCCTCCCTATGACAATCAAACAGTGACATCTTGTGGCAGAGAGAAGTACCAACAACCTTAACATGAATCTCCATTGCATGGAAAAGTATACTGAGCAATTTAAGAAAGTGAACAAAATTTATGGAGCTAATTCTCTTAAAAATTGCTAGTGAAAGAGAGTAAATAAGGTTCAATGTTTTATGTGTATTTTATGGAGAAGAAAAATAGTACACATCATTAATCATAATGCAGATAACATGTTTCTATTGAGAGAGGGCAAGTACTGATTTAGGTTGAATTAATCGACAATTTTAAGGCAAGCGTTTCTCTAACTTTACAGTAAAACTAAGTTGCAAATCTAAACTGTTTATATACATCTAGGTACGTAGATGTTGGTAGGGGTTGAAGCATATAAAAAGGCTATATGTAAATGGTCCCTTATATAGATTCACCAAGATGGTGACTAGCTTAAATAAGAATTGTGCTTATCGTTCTTTCTTTTCTGTTCTATTCATGTAATATTTATCTCCATTTATGAAGAATCTAAAGTTATACCATGTGAAATCTCTTTCTAATTTCAAAATTCAAAACCAAAGTACTCAAAAAGTCAACAATCACGAAGGTGAAATACTCGAAAATCTGAAACCAAAATTCATGATTTGAGACAAACTTCAAAAAGTAATCACTTTTTCACACACTAACCACCACCAGTATACTAATCCTATTTATAAGCCCATCAAAAACCTTAAACATGGAAAAGAAACGAAAAAATTCACAGCTAAATTAATGGATAAAAACCAAACCTTGATGAAGAGAAGTTTGAAGCAATTGAGGGTTCTCTGCATGGAGGTGGCTAATATGGAGGGAGAGTGGAAAAAATGGATCTGAAACAGAGCACACATAGACTCAATTAGTGTTTGCTTCAAACTAATGACAGTATACAAATTAAGGTGGGGGATTCTAATAAAAATATCCATTAGGAATTGAAAGATAAAAATAGGTATTTTAGGATTATATAATAAAAATAGATGTAGAAAAGGGGCAAATAAACTCATAAGAGAGACAGAGAGAGGGATGTAGAACATGTTTTGAGGAAAAGGGGCAAATAAACTCAAAACATAAATCTTATATTTTGCTTTTTCTTTGTTCCTTTAATATTTTTGTGCTTTGGGAAGAACTGGAAAAGGGAAGCATGGGCTCAATCATCACTATCATTATTTGAAATTTGAAATTTGAAATTTTTATTTTTATTTGTGGTTTAAAATATAAAAATATTTTTTTTTTTTACTAATAATATTAACATTAAAAATCAATGATAATACGGATAAAAAGATAAAAAAATAAAATAATCAAATGTATTATTTAGATTATCATTATTTGAAATTCATAATTTTTATTTGTGGTACTTTTATTTTTTAAAATACAATAATATTTGTTTTTTTTCTACTAATAATATTAACATTAGAAATCAAGGGTAATACGGATAAAAAAAAACAAATGTATTACTTAGTTAACAATAATAAAATATGATAGAATTTTAAACGATAAACCAAAAATCATAATTTAACTCATTAGGGATATATTTGCCTAGTAGTACTTATTTAGTATAACTTACTTAGAAACATGCATAATTAAAATAGGTATAAATTATAGAAATTTGACTAAAATATAAATAAGTAATAACATAGATTATTAATATTTAATAAATGAAATGAATTATTTTATAAGAGCTACATAAAGTAAAGGCAACAAAAATGGGAATGAAAAATAAAAGGATGTTGGCCAAGTTTGAAACTGGGACCTTGTACATGGAATGTCAAACATTGGCCAGTAAGCCAACTAGTAATAATAAAGAAAGTACACAGCTGAAGCAGACATGTTGACGCTCAGCTGTGTGCTTATTCCCTTTTTTATTTCCTTTTATTAGGTAGTAATAAAATACGATTCTTATTTTGTTAATGCAAGAATTTATAGTATAAACTTTCTTTCTTTCTACTTTTATAGTAGAAGAATGAGATTAAATGTGGTATCAACATGCATGCATAAAGATGTAATATATTCTGATTTATGGGTAATATAGAATTTTCACACTAGATAAAATTTCAACGTGTTATTTATTGTACAATTCAAGAACCATCACATCAATGTGTACATGTGGCCTTTATTCAGAAACATCTGCACTCTCCATCATCGTCTCTGTTTTTCTTTTTTGGCTTTTCATTTCTATAATTAATCTCTGCTTCTCAATTAGATTGTTGTTTGCTCAGATTGAGGTTATGTCTCCATAAACATAGTATTAAAATCAAGAAAATTGTCTGAATTGGGAATAAAAATCTATAGATTTTAACAATTGATATATTAGAGACCAAAAAGAGTTGAAAACTATTCTGTATTTCTCTTCTTTACAATTGATAAACTAGAGTTGAAAACTATTCTGTATTTCTCTTCTTTACAATTGATAAACTATCCACTATTTATATACAAAGATCCATAAATACAAGCATGATTCTAGCACAATATCATATTATATCTTGCACAATATCAATGGTGTGATTATGCTTAGTTAAGATAGAATATTGTCGCGGATCTTTAAAAATCATACCAAATATTTGGAATCAGATCTGATATGGTCAACATACCCTCTCAAATTGATGCTACTTATCAAGAAGCATTAATTTGAATAATAGGAATTGGTGCTTGCTCCTTGTCATTGCTTTTGTAAACAAGTCTGCTAATTGGATCATCCAACGTGATATGTTGAAAGCTAATGACTTGATCAACAACAAGTTCTCGAATATAGTGGCAGTTCACTTCAGTGTGCTTTGTGTTCTCACGGTGGACCAATTTTGTTACTATTTGTATTGCACTAGTATTGTTAGCATGAAATGTAGTGGAGCCATCAACAGAGATATGAAGTTATGCCATCAATCGATGTATTCACACAATTTCATAGCAAGCAACTGACATTGATCTATATTCTGCCTCCGTTGATGATTTTGAAATTCTTGGTTGTATTGCACTTCCATGAGACAAGTGATGATTCGATAAACATACACCATCCTGTCGTAGACTTTCAAGAGTTTGGACACCCTGCCCAATCTGCAGCTGCATATCCTTCGAGATTTAGAAATGATATTGAATGAAAGAATAGACCTCAATTAATTGTACTTCGAACATAGCGAATGATTCTAAGGAGGGCATAAAAATGATGCTGGCAAGGATTTGTAACAAATTGGCTCGAGACTTGAACTGGATAAGAGATGTTAGGTCTTGTTATTGTCAAATAAATTTGACAACCAATATAATGAGCCTCCAATGCAATGTTGGTTCTGCAAGATCGCCATCATCATTTTTGTACTTCACATTGATCTCCATAGGTGTGTGAGCTACCTTCTGATCACTTAGACATGCTTGTGTGACAAGATCTTCTACAAACTTCCTTTGACTTAGCATGATACCATCCTGCAAATATTCAACATCCAACCTTCAAAAATATGTTAACCTGCCAAGCTCCTTCATTTTGAAAGTTGCATTAAGAAGCTTCTTCGAGCTGTACAATTTCATTCTCATAATTGTTGATTATCATCATATCATCCACATCCAATCAAGCAATATTAGCTTTACTAATATTAAAAAAGGGAACACTTCTATAATATATTTTAAAATTTTAAAATGAGCTTCAACTAGATTATTATTTTTTAAAAAAAATTATATTTCTCTAAAATTATCTTATATATATTACTTTATCCCTTATTTTATTTGACTCACTTTAATATTTTGAATTGTTAATTATTATAGATTTATAATATTTTTATATAAATATCAAATAATATATGTTACTCTTTGTCCCTATTTTTATGTGAGCACGTATGAAATTTTGAGAGTAAAAAAAAATTTAAGTTGTTAGTTATTATGATTTATAATACCATATTTTCATAATTTTTTTAATACATAACATACTTAAAAAGAAAGTAAGACAAATAATTGAAATGGAGTAGGTACTAAATATAAATAGAAGAAATTGAAGTAGAAGGACAAACCAGAGGATTCTCTGACGGATCCTAAGTAGCCCAATAATATGTTACTCCCTCCGTCCCATTTTATGTGGCAACATTTGACCGGGCACGGAGTTTAAGAAATAAATGAAGACTTTGAAATGTTTACCAAATTGCCCTTTAAAAAGTACATTCACTTTTCTCTCTCCTCATAAATGTATTGGAGTATTATTTTAAGATTAAGTGGAACCAACAAGGGTAAAAGAGGAATTGCACCTTTAAATACTTACCATATAAGGAAAGTGACATTCTTTTTGGGACTGACCAAAAAGGAAATGTTGCCACATAAAATGGGACGGAGGAAGTACTCCATTTGTCTCAATTTATGTGACACATATAAAATTTTAATAGTAAATAATTTTTTTAATAGGCTCTTAAAATATTTTAATTTGTTATTTATTGTAATTTATAGAGTAATTTTTTTCATAATTTAAATATATGACATACTAAAAATGAAATAAGACTAAAAACATTAGAATAAAACTATTAAATACAAATAATGAAAATAATTGGATAGAAACAATATGTGAAGAGCTTGAGGAAATTATTAAGCAGCCGCCCAAGCTTCTCAAAATGCCACTAATTATATAGAGTAAAATAGAGTGAAATTCTCAACTAAAGCAAGTTCCTCTATTTGTAATTTTGAAACTTGACCCCAAGCTGGTCAATATTTCCTTCTATATTATAGAGTAATATATATATAAATAATTTTGAAGAATTATGAATTTATATTATTAATGAGACTGCAATCTTATGAAAATATATTATCTTACTATCATATCAAAATCGTTGATTTTCTACACTGGCTCAAGTTCGGATCCGAGAAAATTACTATCTTAAAAATTTATTAATTTATCGAGTATTCATTTAAAGAGGTTCACGGTAGAGAAAGGGACCAAAATTATCCCTTATCTTTACCGTAAGACTCAAAAAAAAAATTAAAGTTAATTTAAAATAAAACATTATATATAGAACTATTTTTTCAAAATAAATATTGAATCTTCCTTATTATTTTGTTATCGTCTTCCGTTCAAATTATTATACTCCATTTATCAATTTTTTCTCTTAAAATGTTTTGTAAAAATAATAGAACAATCCCACTTCTACACGAACGGTAAGCATAGGCAGAAATTCATCTCACAATGACTGGGGAGGTTGTCACAATTAGTATCATTTTCATAAATTTTACAGAAAAAGAACACATATAATTTCTCAAAGACCATTATACATCTTGGTTAAAATTGAGATGAGCATCTACCATTTATGTTATAAAAATAACTAGACAGAGGAGCCCGTGCTAGCACGGCCTCAACACCATAAATATTTAGTATTCGAGTAATATTATGAACTATTAGTGTATAATTTGATATTGGTTGAGTGACTCGATTGATGAGTGTGTGTTGTAACGTTTGAAGTGTAATTATAGTAAGATGTACATGAAGGAAATCATAAATATACTAAAAAAATTGGAAAAATAGAACTTTATAAACTTTTTACATAAGCTTAATTATAAGATAGCTATGTACATTTTTTTACATAATAAAGAACGTGTTAGACATCATGTTTGAAGGTTAGCTAAGGTGTATTCTTGATTGTTCCATTAAAACCTGTTACGTAAGACACAAAAGATAATGCATTTGCATTCAAACATTTGGAAGAAGGTATGCAATTTGCAAGGAAACCAAATAACACAAAAAATGAAATATTCAACAAAAGTAGTTAAGGAAACATATTTTAAAAGAGAATTGTGCAAATGTAGAGAAAGAATTTGCTATATGGTTGAATGAAATAAGAAGAATAACAAAAGCATATACAAAAATATAGAGCGGGTAAGTGAAAAATACGTTATAACAATTTAGAAAGCGAATAAAAATAATAAAACAGTAACGTTCGATAACATTGATTCTTACTATTCATTACGAATTAACAAAGCATCACAAAAAACAAATAAAGTATACATTATTACTATGAGTTTTGGTTCTGCCATAGAAAACTTTAAATGTTTAAATATGG